ATTGCGAAGAAAAAGAAAATGGAAGAATAAACTGTGTAAAGAAAATTACAAAATTTGTTTGGAGGTTAGAGAAATTGGTTTTTTTATCGATAACATCAAGATTGAATGGAAAAAATAAACGAAATAATCTTGGGAAAGATACAAATGTTTAAAAATGTTTTTTTCTCAGACATTTTGTTGAACTTAAAAGATGGTATATAACAAAACCTAAATATATACAAATTAAACAAAAAAACTCTTAATGTTTTCCTTGTTTTTTTTTGATAAAAGACAAACTTCGGTATTCTAACATAATAACCTGGAGAAAAAGTTGCTAAAATTTAGGTCAAATATGGCGCTGCAACCTAATAAACCCTTGAGCTTTACAATCAAATTCGAAAAACAAATTACGGTTGGGGTGATGTGAGAGAAACAAATCGCATTAAAACTTTACCAGATAAAATTAATGCTAGCTCCCTCCATTAAGACCCTACTTTTTCGTTTTACAATATACTCGAAATATTGCGCAATATTGTGTAAATTATTCAGGTTGTTATGTAGAGTCGATAGATTGAATCACAGTTTTTGATTTTATATTTAAGATTCTTCATTTATATTTTTGATCATTTAATGTTTTGTTGAAATATTTTGTCTCTCTTCCCCTTCCCCTTCCCCTTCCCCTTCCCCTTCCCCTTCCCCTTCCCCTTCCCCTTCCCCTTCCCCCTCCCTTCCCCTTCCCCTTCCCTTCCCTTCCCCTTCCCCTTCCTTCCCCTTCCCTTCCCTCTTCCCCTTCCTCTTTTCCTTTCCTTTCTTTCCTTTTCCTTTTCCTTTTCCTTTTCCTTTTCCTTTTCCTTTTCCTTTTCCTTTTCCTAGCTACGCCATAATTGGAAATAGTTAAATATGGTGAAAAATTTTATAATGATGATAATATCCAACATATGTGTGTTTTTTCGTTTACATACAATGTTTTCCTTGATACAGTTTGACTTTGAATAGGTAAAAAAGACTGACAGGTAAAAAAGTATGTGTAGTCTTGCCTTAATACCGGTTAGATTACCTTAACTTAAATGGCTCTACAACGTCTGGCAGGCTTTCAAACTGGCCCAAAAAGTAAAAACTTATCATCCAACCCGGCTGTACTGAAACGGGGGCTACTTATCCGGTTTTAATGAAAATATCGCCAAAGCGTAAACTTGGAGAATATTTTGAATATTTATGAGACGCTTTAACTCGCCACTCCATCGCATTTTCCATGTTGTTTTAGTTTTATTTTAAAAATCTAATTTAAACAGTTTTTGGGAGGGACAGAGTTCAGTGACACTAGCATGAATAAAATTATATAATTTTTTCCATAGCAACTGTTAAAATTGCCTAAAATCTATCAAAAATAGTAGATAACAGTGAGGAGAGGTTAAAAACTTTATTTCTTCTCGCACGTTTTTTAATTGCTTCCATTTTTGAAAATTTTTGTATTCCTTTTCATAAGTTATTCGGGATTTAAATGGAAGTAGTTTGGATAGGGCGTTTGCCGACTCAGACTGAATATCTGTTGGTAATTTACTTATTTTGTTTTGAGCGATTTCTGGCTCCAATTCAATCAGCAATCGACACGAAAGAGAATTAAAAAATATTGACTCAAAACTGACTAAAGAGGCAGCTTTATTTATTTGTCAAATTACATAGAAACCAACGCCAACCCAGCACAATATTTTTTCTACTCGTAATAAATTCCTTGAAATAATAATTTCTGAATATTTTTTAAAACGTAACTCGCTATATAGACAATCTATGTTATAAAATCTCTAATTAATAACAAAAGTAAACTTTTAAAGTTTAAAAATGTGTACAAAAGTACAACAGAGTAAAAAATAATTTATTTGGACGCTCTTGCGAAAAAAACCTCTAGAACTTTTTCTCTTTTAAAAAGAAACATCCTCCTAGCTACTCCAGGATGTTTTCTATTCCCTTCCCGCCTTTGAGAGCTATCCTGGACGGGTCGATTGATTCTATCCCGATTTTACCCCGTTGAAAGTTAAGCTGGGATGCAGTTCTATCCCCCCAGGAATATTCCGAAAGCTTTAAGATTCCCGGGACGTTGTTATCGAGGTTTGGTAAAAGTTTTAAATTAGGGTAAAATTTTCTTTAGTAGCTTGTCCACAAAAGGAAATAAATGGGATAAAAGAGTTATTTAAATTTGGTACGACTGAGAGACTTCTTCATTTGTTACATAATCGAAAAAAATCATATCTAGAATGCCGCTTTATCTACAGAGTGTCATTGAAATGGTATAAAAAAATAAGGGGGTGATAGTACTCCTAAAAATAGTAAAAAAAGTATAGGGCGAAAAATGCATATTAAGGGAATTAGGGGCACTGAAAGAGTGAATTTAAAAAACGGTTGTTTTGAAATTATAGGCTTAAAAACGAGTAAAATTTCGAAAAAAAATACTCTGCCATAAATTTTGACCCTAAATTAAATGGTGATACTGAAAAATTATTTGGAAAAGCGGAAAGGGTAGTTTTTGCAAGGGTAGGGGGTTGTTTCACGAATAACTTTTTTGAGGTTATTTTTTTGCAATGTGGGTTTATTTTTTGAAAACTACATACTTTTTCCTAAAAAAAGGTACTCTTGTTGCACATCGCCCAGAGCGATGGTTTTCGAGAAAATTGGAGGCAAAGAGTTTGCTCTGATGGGTTGCTAACTGGTTAATCAACATAAACTAATGAAAGTTATGGCGGTTCAAAAGTAACCAAAGTAGTTATCAAATAATTAATTGAAAAATCAAAATTTCATGATTTTTAAAACATCTTATTGCTTTAAAGAACGAAATAATCCACTAGATTTTCTACTTCTGGGGCCACTTGAAAGCTTTGGTTTACTCAGTGCCGATTAATACTGAAGAGCAACTACGGCAATCTGAGATATTAAGAGAACAAATCATGTTGGGTTGCCGCTTATGATTATATGGTCTTAAAATTATAGTAGTAGGCTAGGAAACAAAAAGAGGCAAATTAGTTATGTCAAAATATCAAAACGTTTAAGTTCAGTTTTCATGCATGCGAATTTCGGGCGTTTTTTTAAACGTGTTTATGTAACATTATCATCCATCCATATAATTTTTACGAATTTTTTGGTTAATTATACGTAGATAATAGGTAGTTCTCAGATTAAAATGTCCGAAAGTTCGAAAGGACAATCAATAATTTTAATAAAATTTCTAGGAGTTTTGTGCCGCCGTATTGATTTTAAGAGAAAACAAAGAATTTCGTTACAGGGGTTTATTTCATGTAACGTCATTACAGGTTATTAATTATTAATCCATGTTAGTACTTGATTTCACTTGTTTTCGTGTTTTACCTGTTGTTTTGTGTTACTTATTAATATATTATAACGTTTATGTCGTTTGGATCACCTTTCATATAGCACGGAAGCCGAATCTTAACAATATGCACTACTGGTCCAAATAATGGTGCAAGTAGTTCAGCACCAAGACCGTTGGTCGGTAAATGTTTAGGCAGGAATTCAATGATGGCGAATGATTGGACCTTTATAATTGTCTGAATGAAATGAACTATCCATAATTTCTAAGAAATGAATTGCCAATTTTGTTAGGGGATCCATCATGATAAAATTGCATTTGTTGCAATTTCATCTGCATGAATGCAGTTGGTTTACTTGATGCAGGTGGTGCAGTTGTGTCGCTTATTTGGTATGAATGTGTGGGGCTTCTTGGATACCACTTATTTTAGTAGATAGAGACGCTGGAGCGGCCTGATAAATTAATTAATTACTTAAAAATTAATTAATTAAACAATTAAATGGTATTAAAATGAAATTCAAATATATGTTTTCATATTTTGACGTAACTAAATTACCTCTTTTTGTTTCCTAGCCTACTACTATAATTTTTAGACTATATAATCCTAAGCGGGAGCCTAACATGATTTGTTCTCTCAATATCTCCGGTTAGAGAGAAGATAGAAAGTTGTGGTTTGCGCTGATATTTTGAAAATTTTGTGCTCTATTTAATTGTGCAAAGAGAAGTATAGCCTCCTATTTAATTTTTTTATGCAAAAGCGCAATATCTGTTATGATGTCAAACAGCGCCCTCTAGCTACCACGAAAAATATTATGGAAACAAACTTTATACTGTAGATCATTAAGGAAGAAAGGCTCTTTTAAACGAGCCCTAGTTTGTTTAAATCGGGTAACCCAAACCAGAGTTATCTTTATTTTAATAGAAGCAAATTTAAACTTCCCCCACCACTTTATTTTATGAAATACAGCAAAATACTCTATATCAAAAAAATTACACATTTCTCGATAATTACAATAGTAGTATTTAAAGTACCTGTTCACCTGCATATTTTTGAGAAAACCCCTGTTTTCTGATTGGCTATCAGAGAAACGCCCTCTAGCGGACATTTTTCGAACTTGAGAATAATTTCCAGCGATCTCTCTTGGTCGATTTATTTTATTTAGAATTTTTTACCCAAAGTTGTACGATAAGTAGTTTCTAAGATACAACCGGTGTCCATTCTTAGTTGTCCACCCGGTACTACCTGTCATTTTTTTATATGTACTACCAGTCATGACCTATGCATGCGAAATCTGGACACTTAAAACGGACATTATAAGGAAACTGCAGGTCGCACAACGCTCAATGTAGCGAAATATGCCGGGAATAACCCAGATACACTGTAAAAGTATAGAGTGGATACGACAAAAGACCGAGGTGATAGATGTCATCCACAGAATCAAATCCCTCAAGTGGCAATGGGCAGGATACCTGGCAAGAAGGACTGACAAACAGATGGACCACAAAAAGTACAGCATGAAAAATTAAGGGACATAGAAAGAGACCAAACCTAAGCTGGGAGAACTTGAACCTGCATAGCCAACAATAGACAACTATGGGTCAGATAGTCTTAAATAATGAAAAATTACATTTATTTTAAATTTTCTTATTTTACTGTAAATACTTTTTAATTTTTAATAAATAGGAAACCAGCTGTTCTTACCTTCTTGAGCTAGAAAAGCTATAGCCTGGTCCATTCCACCTCCTTGAGTGCCTATGTATCTTTCTGATGCAGCACATATGTTGGCTAATTCTTCTTTAGTTAGTTTAATCTATAAGAAAAAAAAATATATATTTCATAACTTGTGTGAAGAATATAATAAGATTTTATTTTTATTGAGTATATCTTGAAGTATTTCAGTTTAAATCGTTCATTCAAAATTCTATTTTAATTAAAAAAAAACAGACTTTTCAATCGTCGAAAAAGTCACAAAAGGGTGCGTTGTACTAAAATAACTGAAAAAATCCGAATATTACAAAACCAAATGCCACCACAGCACTCACAATAACGATCAAACTGGTTAAAAGCAATTGTACGTGTTTTTTTTCCAGAAACGATAGATTGAAAAAACGGTCAGGTGAAATCAATCTGTTTTTATTTTGTGAAAAAGAAAAAAATAGCATGTTTCAACTGAAAATATACCATTAAAAGACAGAAACAATACAGAAGCAACTAAAAAAACAAACATAAATTCGTTAAAACCACGCTGAATAGTATAATGTAATCTGGAAATAATAGTTAAACTCACTTTATTTACTTAGCTACAATACATTTTTGAATAATTCATTCGACACAATATATTTTTTAAATAGTAAGTTATAACAAAATATACTTATATGATGATAAGGCAAAGCAAGAATTTCCATTAGCATAAAAACTGGATAAAGTTTTCTCACATTTATGTCAGCATGAGAAAAAAAAATATGGCGATATTACTATATAACTTGGTAATATTTGACGGTAGTTTCATCTCGTTGGAATTTGACTTTCGAAAAATCCGTTTGCCAAAAATAAGCTTTTTACGTCAAGCAGTTTAAGCAGAATCGTGGTTAAGAAATTACCCAACTTTTTGGAACACCCTGTATGGTTTTTTAAAAAATTTCAAAATATGCAGAAAAAAAACAAATAAATTATGCTTGTCCAAGCGTTTTCCCGAAAGACTAACCGTTTTTTAAATAACAAATTTAATATTTGAGGGGCGTTTTCACCCTCTTGGAATTTGAGATTCGAGAAACCCCTCCTTATCGAACCTCTACACCCCACAGTCAATCCGTTTTCCAAAAATCAGCTTTAAACGTCAAGCAGTTTAAGCAGAATCGTAATTACTCAATGGTCATATTTTATGAAACACCCTGTATAAATTTATAAAAAATCTTAAAATATGTAAAACAACAAAATAAAATATACGTGGTTAAGAGTTTTTCCGAAAAACTCACCGGTTTTTAAATAAAAAAATATTTTAATATTTGAGGGATAGTTTCACCCCTTAGAATTCGAGTTTCGAAAAATCCCTTCTTATCGAACCTCTACACCCTAAAGTCAATCTGTTTTCCAAAATCAGCTTTTACGTCAAGCGCTTTAAGCAGGATCGTGATTAATCAATGACCAGATTTTTCGAAACACCCTGTATACATTTTTAAAAAATCTTAAAATATGTAAAAAAACAATATAAAATATACGTGTTTAAGCGTTTTTTCGGAAACTTGACCGTTTTTTAAATAAAAAATATTGTAATATTTGAGGGGTGGTTTCACCCCCTTGGAACTGGAATTTCGAAAAATCCCTTCTTATCGAACTCTACACCCTAGAATCAACCTGTATGCCAAAATTGAGCTTCTTACGTTGAGTGGTTTGAGCAGGATCGTGATTAATCATTATGTGAGTCACTTAACGATTTTATACTATATTGGTATAGATTCGTTATATTATACTCTCTAAATGCAATATTCCGCTAATTCTACAAATACTTTTGTTGTTCTAGTACGGTATTTGTTAAAATTTCCACAAAACAACGCAAATATAAACTCAATCAGGCCATTTTGTAGTTGACAGTGGTTAGCAAGTCAATTATACCAGATTTCCCTTCTCCCTTTACCCCTAATTCCGACCCTTTTACTGTTCTGTGTAAGGGTGGAGCACATAGAGAGGGAAACACAGAATATTTACTGGAATAACGTTATGTAAATTCAACAGAACGTTCGACGTTGTATCGATATCCGCATATTTTCACGCATAATAATATTATTTTGCAATTGTGGGTCTTTTTGACAATGTGGTGGTTATTCAGAAATTAACGCCTATGGGGTTTTTAATCAATTAGAAATGGGTATACAATCAAAAATTTTATAATTAGCTTAATGTTTGTTGTTAATAATATATTGTCACATTATACTAAATTATTTTGTTTACAACCACATATCATCCACATATTATGTAATACTGACATTACTGACTTTTAAAAAAAATTGAAAGTGTCAAATGATCTACATTTCTTCCCTCTTCACCCCATTTCCCTCACTCGGTTTTTCTTATTTCTCGCCTTATTTAATTAAGCAAAATATTCTTGTAATATCTTTATTAAATACTTATCTAACATCAACAAAAATAAACAAGAAGATTAACAATAATAATTGAAGATTATAATACATTTATTTGTTGAAGGTAAAAATGCTAGACTTCTTTGGCTTAAAACCTACATTCTGGCGTTTTAAAAAAAAATCGGTAAAAATACTTTTAAGTTAAACGGTTTTATCTTATGTGCACTGAAAACTAGAAAATAATAATAACAATTAGGTATTTTGAACTTCTAGTTCAGAAATATTTTAGTACTAGGCAGAATAGCTTTTAGGTATATTAGACTAAAATAAAAACGTGGGGCCCCCCTGAAATCCTACCTATGGCAAAGCATATCTTTATACTTTGGTAGATCATGAGCTCGGCGTTCGCTGGTGAAGCCGCCACGGCTGGTTATTGAATGTCAAAATCTCCAGTTACGATTATAGTAAGTCGATGCAATCCACACTTAGTATAGAAGAAAGTATTACAGCAATAGCTAATGGGCCCCACGTTTTTATTTTGGTCTAATATGCCTAAAAGCTATTCTGCCTAGTACTAAAATATTTCTGAACTAGAAGTTCAAAATACCTAATTGTTATTATTATTTTCTAGTTTTCAGTGCACATAAGATAAAACAGTTTAACTTAAAAGTTTTTTTTATCGATTTTTTATTTTCTAGTTTTTAGTATTTAACGGAAATGCCTACCGAATATTCCTCATTCTATTTAATTCATTTAGTGCATCATTATTACATGGTTTTTTACCTGATAATTTTTCGTTGTGTAGCAGTTTCGTTTTTATTTTTGTTTGTTTTTTTATTTATTGTTTCCATGTTGTTCCCACGAGTAATGGACATTTTAACGGTCGACCCCCCCAGAGGTCCAGTAGAGGGGCAAGGCTATAATATACAACAAGAGGCGCCCAATCTTGAGGGGAAAACGCTTGCGACATTACATTTTTAGCCACCCTAATGCGATACAGTCCTCAGCACGTTTTAACCTATTACCTTAACTTGAGTGGTAAACCTACCGCTAACTACGTAGGTACATCTAATCACCTTTTTTTTATCTGTCCTTCTAACGTCACACAATCTTGGACACAACTGTTCTGGACACGACTACTCATGCCCTCACCTAATACGCCATTTTGTAACGACGTCCATCTTGGATTTTAAATTTTGTCATAATCACAGTATTCTACTAGTGTAGCCCTTTTATTTGATACCCATATTGAGGAGGTTGTGGAAAAATATGAAATCCGCCATTTTGTACCAGCGGCTATCTTAGATTTACAATGTTATTGATATTACTATATTGTATTGTCATCGGAACTAAAGGTGTGTACCAAATTTCAGATCAATCTGACAACAGGAAGGTACTTAAATTTCAATTTCTAATTTTGACCCAAATAAACAAACAAATAAATAAATACCGTACGGATCGAGCTAAATAAAACCGTTCAAAAAGCGACGAGTTTGTGATATTTTGATATGTCAGTCTTTTCCCTTAATTCTAGCATTGTCCGTATCATGCTGTGTGTAGCTCAAAGCGTAGATGGCTTTTTCTGCCTTGCCATTTCGCTAAAATATGCCATTAAGACTCTCTCCGAAGCAATATTCTTAGCATTTCTTTCGGCACACCATTTTATGTATACTTTCAATGCTATTTCATATCGCCTCCTACTTTTCTCTGGAAGTAAACTGGCTTCTGCTCTTTTTGCAGCTTCTGTAAGTTCTGGTGGAGTACCAATATTAAAGTAGTCTTCATTATCAGAACTTTCCGACAACATTCTGGCTTCCTATGTTATATAAATTCGAAATAGAGAAATTCAAAACTGTCACTTAGTTGTTTGTTTTGCTGTTGAAGGTTTGCTCCATAACAACCAACCCGTAGCTATAGATTATAGAAATGATAGAACAGAAAACGACAAATTTTCGCAATTTGTTTTTTTTCAAAATAAAATACTGTCCTATTTTTTAATTAATGATGTGGTTGTCAATAAAATAGTATACAAACCTCGGAGGAAAGTTTTCATTATCGTCTCGAGATTTAGTTAATCTCTCTACAGTAATATTAAAAAAATACACCTTATATAATACGTACTTTTAAGGCGTGGGCAGTTGCTAGTGCAGCTGCACTGACCAGTGCGCTGCTGCTGGACAAGCCAGCTCCTTGAGGTATTGTACCTGATACTATCACCTCCAAACCTCGGATTTTATCTTTTTCTTTATCAGAAAGTGTCTCTAAAATTCCTTTGACTCCGCATAGGAAGTACTGGTACCATTTTGGAGCTGTACCACTTAATTCTATCCTGAAAAAAATAACAAATAAAGTTACCAAAAAATAATAACTGTCATTTAAAGGTTTCATAATCAGGATGAAGAAATAGACCATTTTTTTTTCTAGTTTGGTTCTGGTTATTTTATCATATTCTAAATAGGAGACCTAAGATATACAGGGTGAGTTTCCTACGATGTTCTCTATGAAAAGAATTGCAGTTTTGTGGTGTTATATAATATGGCGTGGGGGTGGTGTGTCATAATGAAAGTTGTGTTGGAACCACTCTCTCTAAAATTGTCATGGATTTGATTTCATTTTTATTATAGGTTTATGAATATTTAGGTTAAGTATCGATTAAGAAATTCAGTTTTTTAGATCAGGGGTCTTTGAGATTTAAAATACAGATTTATTTAGATAAGAATGTGGAATAATAAATAAATAAATAAGATAACAATTCAACAATAGTTTATTTTTATTTCTTAATCTAGTGATTATATTTAAAATTAATTTATCCTTTTTAAGTGTTACAGGCGACACTTAAGTAGGTATGTTGAAATTATTTTTATACCTTTTTTGAATTATTTTTATTTATTTGTGTTGAAATACAAATCAGATAGAATCTAGTCAACAATACGAATTTTATAGACAATGATATACTTGATAAACTTCACTAAAAACATTTGTACATTAATTTCAATATTTAAATATATAAATTTTAAAATAAAATTATAATTTCTCATTACTGCAAGAGGTTTTTAGGAAATTGCTTAATTTTGTAACTTACTGTACATCGTTTATTAGAGGACAATGGTAGCTTTCGAATTTTGGGTCCAGGTTATGTAAAAATAGTTTCTTCTGTGAATTTTCCGGAGACACGGCCAGAAATATGTCCTGTTCTATTGCCATGGGACATACTCCATACCCGCAGTAGTCTATGTGCTCCCCAATAAGATTCACCCTGTAACAAACATAAAAATCACCCATTATTTGCAATAAAAACTCTTTTTTCCTGCTCTTTGGTATTTTAGATTCCTGTATATTATGCATTCTTATAATATGAGGTACCCTGTATAGTATAATCATATATAAAGTATAAACATACTTATATAAATAGTTTCAATGTGATCATCTTTTAATCTAGGATGAATCGAGAATTTTTTAAGAAAATAGATAAAATTTATCATCAATTCTAATTATCAGAGCCTACTATGACACCGTTTTTTTTTCGATCTTACAGTAATTTCTGTAAACAAATTAAGAATCATTGAATAATTTGAATTATTTCTTTATTACATTTATTTTAGTTAAAAAAAAATAGATAAATAAAAAGTGAAGTATACCTATACATATATTATTTTTTCTCAAAAAATCTAATGTGGGTTTTAAAAAAGTGCACATATCTTTAGGGCTGGTAGATCTCTATAAAATAAACATATTTTCTCTTTAACGTTTCTCAAATAAGTCCAAAATGGTTTAACTACTTTGAAAATTTAAAAAAAAAATGATTTTTTGCTTAAATTTTTGAAATCACCCATTTTTTTCTGGGTTTTTGTTTGTCTAAATTTAAACTACTATTTATGTTGCTGTATTATTAAGATACACTATATTTTTTAACTGAAATGTTAAAAAATTCCAAATTTTTTATCGATAAATTAAAAATTTTCCAAAAATTTTTTCGCTAAAAAAATAATTGCACTTATTTAAGACTCACCCTGTATAGTACTTTTTATATGAGTTATAATAATATTTACCTGCCAGGTACTCTGATGTAAAATTCTGGCCTCTTGTTATAGATTTCCGAAAACCATTTTTCAATTTCATCGATTTTTCGCGATTTCGGCACTTCGCAGATTTCCACGCTCATTACGACGCGTTTTTTTAGACGTTTTTCCGTGTTTTGTCCTGGTTTAATTGCCGTAACTCGTTATATTTGCTGCCGTTGACACGTTGCGAAAACATTACATAGGTGTGAGTACCTACTCGTTATCTTTTTTGTTTATTTTTTTGAATTCGGCGCCATATTTCAACATTCGGCACGAAAAATCCGCGATAAAACAAGGGTTGGTAGTGGATACTGTCCCTCTAAGTGGTTTGACGTTTACATTTACTCTGTTTTCAATATTTTTTCATGTTTTGGGTTGGACTGCCACGTGTATCAGCTGATAAAACAACTCTAAACCATCAACTTTCATAGACTACAACCTTATAATTCATTATAGCCTTTACTAAATGCTTGAATTTTAATGTATTTTGTTTTTTTATTCTTTTTCTGTATAATAATCTTGACGTATATTTCCTGAAATATCTTGAAAATCATGCGGAAAAAGTTTTAAAAATATATTTTTGTTATTTTAAAAGAAATCCATATGGTTTCATGATCGAATATTAAACTAAGCAGGATTATTATCATGCAAGAAAAATATTAGAACAACTGCTGCTATCTAGTGGGAAAATTAAGAAGCTCAGTTCCTGCTATAGCAGTATTTTTCGTTTAAATGTTCAGGAAAGTTTGTAGGCCTACCAACAGAGGTCGCAATTTTAATATACTTTTACGAGGGTACATCAAATAATTAATAACCTGTAATTATACCTGAATATACAGGGTGTTCCTTAATGGCATACTAATATAAGGGAATCTATACTAATATATAAAATCCTTAATTGACTGACATACTGATTAATCACGATCCTGCTCAAACCACTCAACGTAAGAAGCTCCATTTTGGCATGCAGGTTGATTCTAGGGTGTAGAGGTTCGATAAGAAGAGATTTTTCGAAATTCCAGTTCCAAGAGGGTGAAACCACCCCTACAATATTTTTTATTTAAAAAACGGTCAAGTTTCCGAAAAAACGCTTAAACACGTATATTTTATTTTGTTTTTTACATATTTTAAGATTTTTTAAAAAGGTATACAGGGTGTTCCGAAAAATTTGGTCATTGATTAATCACGATCCTGCTTAAAGCCCTTGACGTAAAAAGCTGATTTTTGGGAAACAGATTGACTTTAGGGTGTAGAGGTTCGATAAGAAGGGATTTTTCGAAACTGGAATTCTAAGGGGGTGAAACTATCTCTCAAATATTAAAATATTTTTTATTTAAAATCCCGTGAGTTTTTCAGAAAAACTTTTAAACACGTATATTTTATTTTGTTGTTTTACATATTTTGAGATTTTTTATAAATGTATACAGGGTGTTTCATAAAATATGACCATTGAGTAATCACGATTCTGCTTAAACTGCTTGACGTTTAAAGCTGATTTTTGACAAACGGATTGACTGTGGGGTGTAGAGGTTCGATAAAGAGGGGTTTCTCGAATCTCAAATTCCAAGAGGGTGAAAACGCCCCTCAAATATTACAATATTTGTTATTTAAAAAACGGTTAGGTTTAAACGGGAAAACGCTTGGACATCACGCATAATTTATTTGGATTGTTTTACATATTTTGAAATTTTTTAAAAAATCATACAGGGTGTTCGAAAAAGTTGGGTAATTTCTTAACCACGATTCTGCTTAAACTGCTTGACGTAAAAAGCTTATTTTTGGCAAACGGATTTTTCCAAAGTCAAATTTCAACGAGATGAAACTACCCCTCAAATATTACCAAGTTATATAATAATATCGCCATATTGTTTTTTCTCATGCTGAGATAAATGTGAGAAAATTTATTCATTCAATTACAACATTTTCTCTTTATTTTTCTACAAAAATATTATATCTAATTTTCGTACTCTAAAATACATCTTATTTATAATACAGAACTGGGATCATGGAACATACAGAGTGTTTCCCTTAAACAGTAAAACAGTAACCCTGTATGAATCACAAACCAGTATGTCTTAGTAATATTTACATATATAATACAAGGTAACAAAAACAAAAATTCACACGACTCAAATTGTTTTTTTTTAAGAAAAAATAGTGTCAAGTAGCTGCCTTTTCGATTGTTTCAATCTGTGCTGTCGTATTCTTCCAAGCTGTACGTTTTTTCTACCAATTCGTATACCAATACGAAGCCTTTGCCAGCGATATGGTCGTCAGTTCGAAATTTAATAGCCATACCGTCTTGAGTTGAAGTGGTTACTTCTTGCATCGTCTGTAAAAATGAAATAAAATTATAAAATTAAAAAAAAAAACGGCGTCAAAGAAGGCGACAGTCATTATTTTGCATCGATTCTTCTTTTAAGATTCTTCTGAAAGAGATTGTAAAAATTTACTTACAGAAAAAACTTACCTGGTTACCACAAAACCGTCCCAATGACAAGCTGGTATGATCCAATCCATCGAATACTTCCACGTAATCGTAGGCACAGTCATCTTCTTTTTCCAAGTCAAATTCTTCGAAGGTCAGTCTGACGTTGTAGCCGGTGGAGCTCAGAACATACCAATTACAGATCGATTTTGGAGCGTACGTTGTGTTTCCGTACTTTGGATGCGAGTATATCTGTCTTTTGTCCAAAGAAGCTTGAAGCAGACCACCACATTGCTGTTGAAAGACATAAATAATATTAATTTTGTGTTTAATCTTTATAGACACATAAGCAAACATGTCCGACACCTTTTGATAACTATTTCCTTGATAATATCATTTCATCAATACTTTTTCTTCGGTAGTGTAATTCATGGCTAATATTTTCGATGTAGGTATGAGTTTTTAATAATAATAAAGCACTAAATAGATAAATTTCTGAAATGACAACTTCATTTGACAGTTATCTTTTACCTTGACTGGTGCTCATAAGTAAATACAGGGCCATAAGAAAGGAGAAATATTTAAAAAGAAATCGGCGATAACTCGTAAACGGGCCAGTCAAAAATATCTAAAGTTATTCTCTTGAATGTGGGTTTTAGTGCTCTTCAATAAACCTAAATAGAATTATTCTCTAAAATAATTAGGGAAGCCAATAATTGACCCCATTAAAATTTACATGGGATTTCCTATGTCCCGCTCGACGATGCAACACCCGGTAGAAGCCAACGCCAACCCAGCAAAATATTTTTTCTACTCGTGATAAATTCCTTGAAATAATAATTTCTGAATATTTTTTAAAACGTAACTCGCTATGAAAAAAAATATTGTTTTATACACGACGATAAAATTGCATTATCGCCTTGTATAAAAAATAACTATTATTAGATTATTAGATAGAAACTGACACTCTGAATTTTATGACTTACCGTTGAAAATACACCAAGAAACCCTTTCTTAGGCACGTTGTTATCTGACTTAAACGTCATATAAATATGATTCTCCGACGAGGCTACGTGATGGGGACCCATAGGCCCGCAATACCTCCCCAGCTGGACAGCCTTGGGCGAATCTCCATCAAAAATCTGCACATAATCATAATAACATTCAGGATGTTGTTCCAGCTGAAAGTACTGGAAGTCCAACCGTATTCTGTGTCCAGGGAGTGTCCTAATATGCCAGACGCAGTCCTTGGAGGGTGGGTAGTACTTGGGGTAGTTTGGACTGTTTATTGTACCGTGAGGTGGAGTGAAAATCTCATGGACACAGTCACCCTCGATGCAGTTCTTTTTATTGTCGGAAAGAGTGAAGCCGGTACGACAGGAACATTGGTAACTGCCCAAGGTGTTGGTACAGTCGTGGTCACAACCACCGTTTCTTACAGCACACTCATCTACATCTAGAACATTAATAAAAAAAGATTGATATAATGATTAAAAATCTTATTATAGTTATTAATAGTGATGTGTCGGTATTTGAGTAACGCGATTTTGGAGCGGTATTTTTTTGTAACGTCGTGTCGCGCTCCACAACGAATCAGGAATCTGTTACTGAAGAACGACGATCATAATGACGACAAAATTATAAATTATTTATAATTTGCAAATAAATTATTTATAATCGAACTTGAAGTTGGCTCGAACCGTAGTAACCGCAACCGTAGTAACGTGTTTAGCTCCAGCCGTCGCGATTTCGTCGGTCGCCAACAGTAGTATCTGGAACTGGTATGTCCGTAGCGCAGCGCGATCTCGATCGGGACGTGTTCGCTCCAGGCGTCGCGCTCCTAGAGTTGTAGTTCCCTGTCGCGAACAGAAGTAACTGCTGTAACTGGGCATCGACGCTCGACCTCGGCGGCGACCTACTTTGCTCCAGCCGTCGCGCTCCTAGTGCTAGAGTTTTAGTTCCTTGTCGCGAACAGAAGTAACTGCGGCCGGTACTTCGATTTGCCATGAGGCGTTAGCCGAGTGGCTTAGTTGCACAAGTTTCATTAAAAAGTTCGTATCGAACGTGTATCATTCAAAATTTAATCTACGACGCGACAAGAGGGACGATCCAAAGAGATATCCTCATAAAAATTAAAACTCAAAATTATCAGTCGCCCATATTAGTCGACGCCGTGGTAACCGTGCTTGTTGATTGTTTCCATTTTGACTTTGACAACTCAATTATTGATGTTCAATTTTGTGTTAAACGTTCAGTTTTACTTCCCGAAAATTCAAGACAAACGTACGAGCAAGCCTATGTAAAACTTGAAGATTGGTGTAAAGGGAAAGGAATCAAGAATAGTAGTAACGAAAAGGTTCTGGCATATTTTGAACATCTTTCAAAACATAGGAAGGCTTCATCACTTTGGGTATATTATTCCATGCTACGTTCAGTTATATCAGTGAAGAAAAATAAAAATATTAGTAAGTACGTCCATTTAATTGCATTTCTAAAAAGATGACTGTTTACAATAAATAAACGTATTTAGGTACTTTTTTTTTGCTTGTTTCTTATTTTAAAATTTGCGTATTATTATGAATTCATAATAGCACTAGTGCACTGGTGGTTCACAGACTTACCAATAAAATACACAGCTGCAAAACCTGTCCTCTGTACATTGGCATCCGAATCAAAACCAATACGCATAATATTACTATCCGACCCAATCATTTTCGGCAATTTTCTACCGCAAAAAGTACCATGGTGCTTCGTTTTGTAGTTCCCCAGGTGACTGTAAACTTCAACTCTGTCGTACTCGCACAATTGGTAGTCGTAGTCATTTCCCTCTATGTCCATGTGCGTGAAATTGAGAAAAATCTTATGTTGGGGAGGCGCCTCGATTTCCCAGGAACATTTTTTGCCCACCGGGTACAATTCAGGGAAGGAGGGTGAAGTTATTGTGCCTCTGGGTGCGTTGAATTTACCACCACATGCATCTAAGTAAAGAAAATGTTATGTTATTTATTATATTGTAGTAATAAGTAGATATAGCCATTTTTATTGACAAGCAAGACACTCAGTTCCACAGAGGTGGTACGCAGTAACAAGTATAATATACACGATGGTCCGTTTGTATAAAATGGATTTTGGACTCACCAACGCAGCTTTTTCTATCGGAATGAAGTTCAAACCCAGGCTGGCAGGCACACATGAAGCTTCCCAATGTATTCACACACAACTGTTCACACCCGTGATTAGTTTTTTCACACTCATTGAATTCCGCGATAATTTTGGCAGAAAATCCTCCTTTTTGGTTCGATCTAAAAATATTTATTAGAAATTTATGAATGGCTCTATTGAAAATTCATTTTTTTAGCCTACCTATCGCTCACAAACGTTACAGTCATCTCGCTACCACTAGACGTGACATCATCAGGTATTAAAGTACCACAAGACTGTTGTAAACGTGTTGAATTCGATCTGAAACCATCTGAAATCTCTACGTAATCATAACTGCAGTTCACGTGATGTTCTAAATCGAAAGCCAGAAATTTTATAGCCACCTGGTATTTTTCTGGTACTGTAATAAACCAAGTGCAACTTTTTCCTGGGTGGTATTCGTCGGGATAGTTTGGTGAAGCTAAATACCTAAAAAATAATAGAATTTAGTTTGAATTTTTAGGAGAAATTTTGATCGTTTACCCTTCAGAGTTGATGTGAAGTACTCCACCACAAATCACTTCGAAGTTTGCATTAAAAGTTTGGCTGGGGATGGTATTGTCAGCTACGTAGGTAACTAGCATGCGGTTGCTTTCGGATTTGATGTTGTTTATTTCACCACGACCACAAAACACACCTAAAAATAGTAAAGAACATATACAGGGTTCTTCACCACATACGACACGGAGTATTGTATCTAAACGATTAGATTTTTGCAACTTGTAAGTTTTGGGTTCGTTGAAGGACCATTAGAACTACAATTTAAAAATATTGTGTATACAGAGTGTCCCAAATAAATAAAAAATGTTAAATTTGTATTTTTTAAACGGAACACGCTGTATATTATTACATTTTTAGTTTCTACGATTAAAATAAAGGTAAATTTGATTAAGGTTTACCGCATTTTAGTCTTACCGTTTTTGAAATCTTTAGGTTTTTGTCAGAATACAGTAATAAATTTTAATGTTTCATTTCTCTAGACGTGTTTAAGTTTTTAAAACCAAATATTGTACTGAAATTAGGGCATTCAATTCCGAAAGAAATTTTCAATCCCGGGATTTCGGGATTATAATTTTTCGATCCCGGGATCCCGGGATTGGTCCCGGGATTCACGAAAAAATTAATTTCGTTGGAATTATATTACATTTTCTTTCTTTCCATAATTTTATTGAACAAAAAAAAACAGTAACATAAATTAAACGTCAACCCCATTACAAAACAACATAACATATAAGTTTATTTAACAAAAAAAAACATAAAAGGAACTAAAATATACATTTTTTATTTAATTTACATAACCAATCGAATACAGCATAACACAGGATTACTAAGATACTAAAATAACAACTTATGCAGTAACAAAGATGAGGATCTAAACTTGGATTTTTGAAAAAAATTATTAAAAAAAAACAAGCCGATCAAGAGTATTATCACTCAAACTAGATCTTCATCATCTTCAAACTTGATCAAACATTCAGGGTTGTTTATAAGCGCATATTGTACTATCATGAAAGACTTGTGTACGATTTAAATAAAAGAAAAAATGTAATGATGAATCCCGAAAATCCCAGGATTAAAGAAAAGACAATCCCGGGAAACGGGATCCCGGGATTGAATGCCCTAACTGAAATATTTCTATTTACTAAATTTTGTGTTGCAATAATAAAAATTATACTACCTTATACAGAGTGTTTAAAAAGTTATTTTAAGTAATTACTAGCTTTAAACGGCAATAACTTGTTTAATTTAAATGGAACACCCTGTATATTTTATGAGAATCAGATGCACAATTTAATTGTCTATTAAACTGTATATGTCATTTTTACCTATCTCTTCAAGTTTTCGTAGAAAATGCATTTTCTTATAATTTAGACCTCATTTATCAATATACCCATGGAATATTGACATTTTAGATTATTTTTAAAGATGTAACAAATTTTTAAAGAGTACACATACTAATATTGTCGATATAGTTCGTTTATGTCATTAAAACATAAAAAAACTGTTTAAATATTTGTTAGAGAGGACCAATTAATATGATTCCACTATCCAAACTACAATAATTGACTGTTTGCGTTGATTAATAATAATTGTTCCAAATACTAAAAAACTGATTTTTGTATGTGCATTACACCGTGTGATAAAAATTGACACCTTAAAAATTTTATTTTATTTTTTGACGAATAATTATTTATAACAACCGAGACGTTCGTTTTCATAACATATATTAATTATATTGATTTCTGATTCAAATCCACATTTATTTAGAATAATTTATTAACTAACACAATTAAGTATGTAATTAATTAATATTTGGGCGGAAATAATGGTGGTATATTAAATTAATCGTACATTCTTTTATAAAGATTTAAATAGTTATCTTTTTGTATACAAATGGGCTAGTACTATTATCGTTTTAAGCACCTGTATATTTTGTACATTTGTTGCTTTAAAAACAATCTAAAATGTCAATATTTCATGGCTATATTGATAAAGGAGGTATAAATTATAATTAAATGCATTTTTTACGAAAACTTGAAGGGATATTTAAGAAATGGTATTAATACAATTTGATAGAAAATTAAATTGTGCATCTGATTCTCCTAAATATACAGGGTGTTCCATTAATAATGACCTTACATAGTAAATTACTATTGTATATCATATTTGTTACCTAGTAATTTTGATTTTCTCCAATAGCCATCACGTACTTCCACATAGTTTTCCGAACAATTTGGCGACTTCAAAATATCCATGGAGGTGATATTCAATATAATTTTCTCCCCAGGAGTTGCACTGATCCTCCATTCGCACAAAGTACTACCTTCAGCTGAATTGGTACTGACTTGAGGCGAAGAAAATGATCCTGACTTTGTCTGAAACGTTTTACCACACTCTAAAGATGAAGGAATGTAAAAAAAGTTTTTTTTAAGTTATTTCGTTTAACTGACTTGGACAGTTGTAGAGGATTTGAGTCTGCGTAATATCTCCTTCGCTTAGCTTCACTCTTTGGCCAATTTCTGGACTTTTCATACCATCAGCGACGATTGGTTTGATGGTGTCAACGTAGGCGTTTTTTGAGTATGTGTTTTTGGCGTAGTGCATTATGGAATCATAGTCGTACTTGAGGCCCAACGAGCTCACTTGGTCTGAGCTGAGTTTCTCAAAGTTTACTTTTTGTTCTGCGTGAAAAAAATAGAAAGATATTTTTATGACAAATATTATCTATCGACAAAAAATATTATATTATCGACAAATCAAATTTTACTTTATGACCAACTCAAAATCAAGCATATAAAGTATAAACGTGTGCTTTACACTGAAAAAAAAAATTGTTTATAATATTAATGAACATTGATTATTAACTGTTGTTTCATTGGGACAATGATTTTTTTCATTAATTTAATGATTTGTTAATCATAGATCGATGTCCGATTTATTAATACCATGAATCTAATTTCATCAATATAATGAAAACCTAGTTATTAAATTATATATGTAAGATTTTCATTTCTTTATTTTAGTGCTGAAACATTAATAAACACATATTCATTATATTAATGTACTAAATCATTGATTAATGAGTTGTACATTATTGTGACAATGAACAATGTTATTAATACAACGAACACACTACATTATATTAATGTACGCAGTTATTAATATCATGAATAAAATATTAGGGCTTAAATGTCCGCCATGTTTATCGGTTACTTTGACCACAGAATATCTAGCTACGCAACAGAAAAATACTCGAAATGAAAGAGCTAAAATTGCACAAATAAAATACTAGATGGCGCGACAATATCCTAATCAGAATATAATTGGAAATTTTCAACTTTCGGTTTTGGATCGACGTAGATCGACGGCACGTCAACGGCCTTAAAGCTCGGCTAAATATGCACAGTTGCCAGATTCAAACAGACTTTAATTGGCATCCCATTATTTTTCTGGTGTATAATAATTTCTTTCTATTCTTCGTTTCTTCTAGATACACATATATTAATTATTCGTTTGGCTCTTAAAATAGTTTTAATTTTAAGTATATTATTAGAAAACATATGCTTTTAAAATACATTTTTAATATACACTACTTTATTATGTTAACTAAGAAAATAACTTTAATTACCTTTAAAATTAATAATATACAGGGCGATTGATAGTGATATTTATTAATGCTGAAACGTTAGTAATGAAATATACGTTTAATAATAATGGAAATAATTTATTAAAATGCAGTACAAAAAAATGTTAATTGACTAAAAAATACCTAGGACCTAGGTAAAAAGTGACACAGGTATATTAGTTCGGCATAAAAGTTGCTGTCACGACATCGTACAATAAATTAAAATTCGTAAAATAAATTAAAATTATTAATTAAACAAATCTTTATAAAGAAACACAACTATATCAAATTTGGGCCCAATCGAACGCCAGGAAATGGTATCGTAATATGGTACTACATTATGGTACCCCTTGATATGCTTCATGGTACCATAATATTGCAATGTCATCAAAAATACGCAAGTATAATCAAATATGAGCCCAATCGAACGTCAGGAAGTGGTATCGTAATATGGTACTATATTAAGGTACCACTTTATATATGCATCATAGTAGATGCATCATAGTACCATCATATTACAATGTCACCGAAGATACTTACTATACCAAGTTAAGCACAATCGAACGCCAGAAAATGGTATCGTACATGGTACTATTATGGTACCTCTTGATTTGCTTCATGGTACCATAATATTGCAATGTCATCAAAAATATGCAAGTATGAGCCCAAATGAACGTCAGGAAGTGGTATCATAATATGGTACTATAGAAGGTACCAATTTATATGCTTCATGGTGCCATCATATTACGATGTTACCGAAAATACGTAGTATACAAAGTTTAAGCTCAATCGAACGCCAGGAAATGGTATCGTAATGTAGTACTACATTATGATACCCCTTGATATGCTTCATTGTACCAATTGACTGGGAAAAGACGATCGATGATATTTCCCATATAAATTTACACATAAAATGACAGCGATTTTCATTTCATAGCCATCGCTAACGCCGTTTTTTCCCGATCATACGGTATGAACACAATCGAACGTCAGGAAGTGGTGTCATAATAATAGAACAATACTTATTATATTGTCGCCGAATTACAATCAAAATTCAGGATTTAGTTAGAATCAAACTTCAGGAAGTGATTTTAATTCAGCTCGTAATATTTAACTCCAATTAACATGGCAAGTTAAATACTTAAACGTTTGAAAAAAGAGCTCTAATCTATTTTAATATGTATAAATGATGTAGCAAATTTGAAGGTAGGCTTTATCAGGAAGTATTACAATATAAATTACACAATGGCAACACTGCATATAATTCTTTTAAATTTCGTTTGTAGAAAACTGTTTTCTTTATCGCCCTCTGTTATGTAGTAGTGAAACTACCGCATCAAAATATCTGATTAGGAGACAGGCTTTAAAAGCCTGTCTCCTTTTGCTACCTACAATTTTATACATGTAACGAGGCTTCTGTTGCGTAGCTAGATATTCTGTGCTTTGACACTTCCATAACGTCTGTATGGTTGAGTTATTCAGTGAGGCTTTAGTTTCACTAGAGCGGTAAGTGTTCTCTTCAATATTTTAAATAAAAGTCCTATCGTATAGTAGTTAATTTGTTGTGTTGTCAAATCAAATTCCGCTGTGTGTGATCTCTGGTGTGGGTATTCATTAAAACAGCGGTTTCCAAATATGTTTCAGAAGATAAAAAAGAAAAAGAAGAAAACATAGTAACAAGTCGAGGCATGGAACTGATTATGGTAAATTCGAATGTTCTTTTATTATTTGGCATTTTAATTATTTTGACACACGTCTTTTAGAACCGGAAGAAGATGTTGAGACCTGCCTTCAAGCCCTCAAATTCGACAATTTAACATCGGACCCACTTAATGCGACTTGGAAAGCCTGTTGCAAATTCGTTTAGACGTTATCAAGTCTAAGGATATAATGAAGAAATGGTCTTTTTATAGAAATCCCTCAGGATATCGACTGATAAATTAATTTTCTTATTATAATTTACCCTAAAATTAATAATAACATTACTATTCTCTTCGTCGATTCGATTTTTTAATTTTTAATTTGTATATGCTATATCGAGTTTAATAAATTATTATTAGTTTATTGCACTTGTTTTTTATTAATAATCCCTAATGGGAAAATTTACTATGCTCGTAAGTAAGTCGGCACTATTAGTAATTTTGTTACCTATGTAGCTAAGGGCTTGTTCAAATGGAAATCTATGTATAGTAGAATTATTTCAGGTAGTTGGCTGGGAAATGAGTATCAATGACATTTCAAATCAATGACAGCGATCTTCATCATCGATTATACGGTGTAACAAGAGTTACTAATAGTGTCGACTTTTAAATGTATAACTAAATAGGTTATGAAATTATTTCATTGTATTAATGATATGGTTCATTAATATAAGGATTTAGGTACATTATATTAATGAAATCTATTCATTGTACCAATGAATGTGTTCTTCAAATTAATGAACACTGTTCATTGATTTAATTAACTTAAAGTTCATAGAGTTAATGAATTACTTTTCATTGTGCCAATGAAATCATTCATCGGCTCAAAATTAATGATTTAATTCATTATATTAATGAACTTTTTCATTATATTTATGTCGACTTTTGGTTCAGTGTACAATACAGTATAAAATAAGACTTTCTAAAACTACTAACCTTTTTTAACATTGTCCAAATACACTTCGACATAACTATCTCGATCAGGTCTGGTATGTTCATGATAGTACCCAATAGCGTGTCCTATTTCGTGTACAACCACACCAAAAACAGCGCATTTAGGCCCTATGCTCAAAGCCTGAGCTCCCAAGCCTCTTTTACCGACAAACGAGCAACAACCGCATGGTTTTTCGGTGAAAAACACGTAATTGTCGTTCTCAGTCTTGTTCCTTTCGATGAATTTGAGGCAGGTGTGGTTTTCCCAGTGCCTCATGGCTTGTCTGGCCAGAGCTTTGCGAAAATCACTGAAGGAGTCGTCGATTTCATATGGGATGACTCCATGGTCCCATAGACGTTCCTTGAAGGTTGTTACTGCTGCTCTTTTGGTAATTTTGTGTGGGTTAGGTGTGGTTTGGAGCGGTTCTGGAGTGATTTTCCTGGAAATGAGGTTAGATTTGAGAATATTCATGTTAAAATAATATTAAGAGTTATATAACAAGCAAAAATGGAAACAATTCAAAGAGACGCACATGATGATGAAAGTTTTGTAATATTATTTTTGATGGAAAACTTACCATAGTTTGTTTTTCTCCAACAATTTCTTTGCTTTTTCCGAATTCAAGGCTTGTTTATCAGCATTTTCCAGGTCCTCGTGCATGAATCTAGCGAAGACTTTCCTTTTGGGATCGGGAAAATTTATGGCAATATCATCCACAAACACATCTGAAAACATAACTATTATCTAGATCTTTGTAAGGTATTCAGCACTATAATAATCAGAGAAAACTGTGGAGTGTTGATAAATCTTAGATTTACAAAAGTATTTTTAGATGATTTTGTTATTGTGAAGTTTAGCATAAACATAATATATATGATATTTGATATTTTTTCAATTTTAGTTTTTTGGTATTACTTTACTGAGATATCTGCTCATATGTATGAGATTCTGAAGAGTATAGACTGCTCAGCAAGAGAATATATGACAGTGGTATTTGTCATCTGTCATGTTAATTAGAAAGTATATTGTATTTTCTGTCATTTTTTGGATGTTGTCTGTCGAAAGCGTTCTTTCTCATGCTGGACAGAGTTTATGTATATATTTTCTGTTTTCTTTATATGTATTATAACAATTATTGTTCCATTTTAAGTGTCACCTGATTTAAAGAGAGTTTAATTATCTATAGTGCATCTTGTAAGAGTTAGTTTTATATAATTTTTAGTAGTTATACTCCCAGAAATGTACATTGTTTGAAATTGTGCATGTATCTTTGTATAATTTTCTTTGAGACCAATAAATGATGACCTACTTATTACCAGTAATATAGAATGGCAAGCCAATTTTGCAGTTTATATCAGAAAGAAGCAGTTACTTTACTTGGAGATTATTTTGAACATTACTATTCTTTATAATTTTTTAATACTTGGAAGCAGTTTAGAGGTTATAATATCAATAAATATTTTATTGTAATTTTTCTTGTATTAATGGATTTAAATCATGTGGGGTAACATTTCATAACATTGGGAACAAATTATTAAGTATCTCATTAATGATCAGCACATGAATAATATAATATTTAGAAAATTATAAAAAGTTTTATATATAATATTATATAATTTCACACCAAACTTAGAATTTTTGATAGATATTTTGTCAAAAATCTTTTATTTTCTGAAAATTATCGAGAATTCAATAAACAACATGCGTTTAGGTATCATCTATAGTTTACGATTAAACAAAAAACGTGTTTCTAGTACTCTACATATCATAAAACAGTTTAAAGTCCAAGCTATTAGAGGTTTTTCCTTTATCCAAGGAACAACGAAAAATATATTAATCATTTTATTGAAACGTCTTGTCATATAAATCTAAGTAAAAGACATAATATTTAGAGCCATACAGTCTGTTACGTAAATCTTTAACTGAACGCAATGTCCTCATTTAATTTAAACTGATGATTTTCATTTAACCTAATTAAGCCTTTTAAAAAAGTGTCACGTTGCTTTAGAGCAAGACTTAATAGAGAATATACATAAATATATTAGTACTAATATTCTTATTTCTGTTTTAGTTTAAAGAAACTATTTTTCTTAAATAAAATTGTGTTAAAAAGGTATAATTTTTTCAACTTCATTGTTTCGTATTCTAAAAAAGTTTCTTTAATGTCAAAAATTCTCTAAGAGTAACATTAATGATATTTATCATCTAATATGAGCGAAATAAACATTAAATCTTTTTCACTCACCTGCTTTACAAGGATTCAACCCAGTATCATTTGAAGTTTTTTTTGGAAACGTTTTGGTCAGCAATTCCTCCACTGAAAATTTTTTATGTGCATTGTAACTTGTTTGCACGACGCTCTCATTGGCGTTTTGCACCTGAACAACCTCATCTTGCTTAGTTGCTATCCTGACAACATCTCCATCATCAATATCAACCTTCCTGGTACTAGAAACACCGTCCAAAGCATTATATCCTGTTTCTTCAACTGCTTTTATCGATTTTTCCACTTGAAGAACATCTCCTGGCTTAGTTTTGGTACTGACAACGTCTCCATCATCACTACCGACTTTCCCGTCACTAGGAACATCGTCTAAATGCGCGCATCCTAGTACCGGGAGGCACAAGAGACACAGTACTATTGCTATTCGGTCCAACATGATCGGCTCTGTAATCTCGCCGCTCTATCTCGGCAGCTGTGTGTGCCAATTACAGATAGCGGAGCTTACGAGGGTACCTCGAATAGTACCGATGAAAACGGTGGGTTCTTGCGCACGTTACTCGACGCCGAACCGGCTATAAAACAAGAAGATAGTACCGTGAAATGGGTAGATAGTTCAGTTTTCGTTTGGCGAGTATATTTGGGTCGGGACTGGTAAATATACTGATAGTAATTGTGTCGTCGTTTTCGGTGGTACTCTTCCGAAGACGCTGGCATGAATTGTTTGTTGTAGATAAAGTACTGGCGGTACTGGAGGCAGAGGAATGGGAGAACAAGAGAAGACTCGCGCTCGTGTGTTTGTGTGTGTTTGTTAGTTAGATCGCGTATTGTATTTAATCAAAATCACTGGTTCGATTGATGCCAGCTGTCGGAAAAAACCGGAACATCTTGTTTCGATATTTAGTTTCTTCGACGTGGTTTTGTTTTTCAGTCTCTCTGTAGCGTCTTTATTTTCATTTTAGTGTGTTAATTTCATTAGTTCTTTTTTTGTTTTTTCTTTCATACACAGAAAAGAATGTGTGCTATTTTTCAGATATTTTTTAACTATAGACGTTTGATAAAATTGTAAAAATTGTTTGAGATGTAACATCTTTGTTTCTGGAGTTTTTATCCTCTTATGTACTGAGTGTTTGAAATATAAGTAAAAATACAATTTTAGGGAATCTAGTAGGGACTTTTTAGTAAGATTTTTTTTGTATATTATTTTAAAAATGCTATAAAGAACGTTTTTAGTGTATAAAAAAAAATCTCTATACAGGGTGAGTCTTAAGTAAGTGCAAATATTTTCTGGGTTTGTAGATATCGATAAAAGAAACACATTCTCTCTTTATCGTTTGTCAAAGTCCAAAATAACCGAATTGTTTTACTTTGAAGATTGAAAGAATTTTTTTTTAATTTTGAGAACCACTGGATCTTTTTAGGGTTCCGTACCCAAAGGGTAAAAACGGGAACCCTATTACTAAGGCGACTTTTTTTTAATCGTTTTTTTTTTAATTTTTACATATTTATTTTTACTTTTTACATATTTATTATTGATTAATGCAATTTTTAGTAATGCGTTTCTTCATTTTTTTTAAATTACATATACGCGCATTCAAAATTTTAGCTAAATCGAAAAAAATGTTTATAATAATATAGAGTCTAATGTTGTATAGATAAAGAATGGTACGGAATTGACCAATTTTTGTTTTTTTTTTCTTGTAAATTTAATCTGCTGCCTATGTTGTCATATTATACTTCACATTTTTGTTCACGAAAAAAAAAATTAATAGACGTGTCTCTGGGGTTGAAATATACTACCTCTAAATAATATATTTGCAGTAATTTAAGAAACACCCTTTATTCTACTGTTATAATTATTGACAGTTGCGCATCTCCGCTACAAGATTTTTAAAATTCAAACAGATTAAGATGGCAATTGAAAAAAAAACTCTTTGACTTTGTAGTTCCAAAAACCACAGAGATAAAACATGTAGATGATGTAATAATTATATTTATTACATAGAATATAATATATGTGAAGATAGGTGTATATTATACAGCTTAAAGAACAAATTTTACAAAATAAAAGACTGGTTTCAAGTAGATAAAAGTGGTTTTGCTGATTTCTTTTCGTGTTATTTGATTCAAAGTCAAATCCTCTAGCTCGCTCTTTTGGGAAAGTGACTCAAAAACAAACTAGAAGCACCGCATAATAACAAAACTTAAAAATAAACACAAACAGTGATTATTTTGGCCAAACTAATTAGCATTATTGATATATTTTCATCTATTTTCGAACTAATAATTACGAACAAATAATATACTTGTTAAATCATAACGATGTTATATTATCGAATAGTATTTTTTTGCAGCTTCACTAAATATTATTCCGCTGGATACTAATAACGCAATACGTTTTAATTAATATTAATTAATTAATTTAATAACTGATTACTCATTTGAGCTGATTGAAATTGTCTTTGTTTTTCCTTTATTCCTAGTTCGAAACGATATTGTTTTGTAAACAAGAACGATGTAACAAATTCAACAGATTTATCATGGTGATGAATACGAAATCGGACATAATATAATTAATTTTGGTAATGTTTTTGATGTGTTTTGATGTCAATATTAAGACAGTCGCACTAAACAATATTTTTTTGAAGTCCTGCAGGGGGTAGTGTACAGGGTTGTTCACCACATACGCCACGGAGTATTCTAGCTAAACGATGAGATTTTTACAAATTGTAAGTTTGGGGTTCGTTGAAGGACTATTAGAGCTACAATTTAAAAATATTTTTATAAGATACAGAGTGTCCCAAATAAATAAAAAATATCAAAGTTGTATTTTTTTAAATGGAACACCCTGTATATTATTACATTTTTAGTTTCTACGATTAAAATAAAGGTAAATTTGATTAGGGTTTATTATACTTAAACCTTACCGTTTTTGAAATATTTTCAATTTTGTGAAATTGCAGTAAAAATTTTAAAGCTTCATTTCTCCAAGGGTATCAATGTTTTTAATACTAAATATTTAATGAAGTTTATTTATTGATCAGTTATTGTGTTGCAATAATAAAAATAATACTACCTTATACAGAGTGTCTAAAAATTTATTTTAAATAATTATTAGCTTCAAACGGCAATAACTTCTTTAATTTAAATGGAATGCCCTGTATATTTTAGGAGAATCAGATGCACAATTAAATTGTCTATCAAATTGTATTATACGATTTTTTACCTATCCCTTCAAATTTTCGTAGAAAATGCATTTTCTTATAATTTAGACCTCTTTTATCAATATATCCATGGAATATTGACATTTTAGATTGTTTTTAAAGCAACAAATGTACAAAATGTACAGACTAGTAATATTATCGTTTTTAGCAAAACAATAATATTACTAGCCCATTTGTATGCAAAAAGAAAACTATTTAAATCTTTATAAAAGAGTATACCATTAATTAAATATAACACCATTATTTCCGCCTATATACTAATTAATGACATACTTAATTGTGTTCGTTAATAAATTATTATAAATAAATGTGGATTTTTGAGTCAGAAATCAATATAATAATAAGTTATCAAATTAAAGTCTTTGTTGTTATAAATAAGCATTTATTAAAAAAAATGAAATATCATTTTTAAGGTGTTACTTTTTATCACACTGTCTAATGCCCATACAAAATTCAGTTTTTTAGTATTTGGAGCAATTATTATTAATCAACGCAGTCAGTTAATGTAGTTTGAATACTGGAATCATATTAATTGATCCTCTTTAACAAATATTTAAACAGTTTTTTTTTATTTTTTAATGAAATAAACGAATTATATCGACAATATTAGTATCTGTACTCTTTAAAAATTTGGAACATCTTTAAAAATAATCTAAAATGTCAATAGTCCATGGGTATATTGATAAATAAGTTCTAAATTACAAGAAAATGCATTTTCTACGGAAACTTAAAGAGATAGGTAAAAAATTGTATAATATAATTTGATAGACAATTAAATTGTGCATCTGATTCTCGTAAAATATACAGGGTGTTCCATTTAAATTAAACAAGTTATTGCCGTTTGAAGCTAATAATTATTTAAAATAAATTTTTAGACACTCTGTATAAGGTAATATTATTTTTTTATTGCAACACAATAACTGATCAGTAAATAAACTTCAGTAAATATTTAGTATTAAAAACTTTGATACCCTTGGAGAAATGAAGCCTTAAAATTTTACTGCAATTTCACAAAATTGAAAATATTTCAAAAACGGTAAGGTTTAAGTATAATAAATCTTAATCAAATTTACCTTTATTTTAATCGTAGAAACTGAAAATGTAATAATATACAGGGTGTTCCGTTTAAAAAAATACAACTTTGATATTTTTTACTTATTTGGGACACTCTGTATCTTGTAAAATTATTTTTAAATTGTACCTCTAATAGTCCTTCATCGAACCCAAAACTTACAATTTGTAAAAATCTCATCGTTTAGCTACAATACTCCGTGTCGTATGTGGTGAACAACCCTGTATACAGTATGTCACAAATTCGAAGATGAATATTGTAGGATCTCCAAAACCATAAGAGATACGAAAGAGGTCAAAATTAGGGTAGAGCTGCTTTGGTTTGGAAGCCAAAGCAGGCAAAGCAGACAAGCCAAGCAGACAAAACAACAACAAGACAGAAACATTCATGTTTTACTACAAAATCGCGACAAATTCAAATCATTTCTGCGACATTTTTGTCTCATTTTTGTTTTGTTTCAAAATTCGGAGACTTTTCAATGTCCCGTCTCGAGTCGGTAAAGATCAAAGTGTCTGTGTTTTGTTCGTATATTTTACGACAAGTTGTTGGCACAGTGTGGAGTAGGTAGGAGACTAGTGAAATCACATATGGTTAATAAAACTCATTCAACTAAACAACAACTAAACTTTTGACTTTGTTGTACTTTTGTCCTTGCAGTGTGGACAATTTGTCTCAAGTCATTCCCCATTTTTTGTTGCAAGTTTGTCTTGTTTTTGTCTCAAATTCATGTTTACTTTTTGTAAATCAATGATCAAAATGTCGGACAAAATCTGTGGGGAAAATGGGGAAACACCAGAACACCTTATCGCTGAGTACACCGAGACGACAACCATTCGTGCCATAGACTATGCAAAACCGTCTCGGATACTGGTTTTTTTCAAAGCCCTAAGAATATATGTTGAGTTATAACTCAAAATCGGGGGATAGGTTTTTAATTTTTCCTTCCCACTACTGGTATTTGGGAGGTCGCAAGCTTATAAAAAATTAAATAAAAATTCCAGGTTTTAACTAAATATTTTTGGAATTTTAATTACTAGGAAATTTTAATGAAAATAGTGATTAATTTTATTACTAATTGTTTTTCATTAATTTTCTCATAATTACGCCTAATTATTTTCAATAATTTTTGGAAATGAGATTTGATAACTTCTGTTATCGTATTTTTTAAGTTATTCTAATATATTCTTAGAAATAGATATTAATACGGATGCTTAAATATTGCATCTATCATTGAAAATTGCAATTTGATTTTGCCTCTTTTGTTATACAGGGCGAGTCTTAAATGAGTGCAAATATTTTCAGGTCTGGTGGATCTCGGTAATCTATACTAATATATAAAATCCTTAAGTGACTGACTCACTGATTAATCACGATCCTGCTCAAACCACTCAACGTAAGAAGCTCAATTTTGGCATACAGGTTGATTCTAGGGTGTAGAGGTTCGATAAGAAGGGATTTTTCGAAATTCCAGTTCCAAGAGGGTGAAACCACCCCTCAAATATTAAAATATTTTTTATTTAAAAAACGGCCAAGTTTCCGAAAAAACGCTTAAACACGTATATTTTATTTTGTTTTTCTACATATTTTAAGATTTTTTAAAAATGTATACAGGGTTTTTCGAAAAATCTCGTCATTGATTTTTTTTGAAACAGATTGACTTTAGGGTGTAGAGGTTCGATAAGAAGGGATTTTTCGAAACTCGAATTCTAAGGGGGTGAAACTATCCCTCAAATATTAAAATATTTTATATTTAAAAACCGGTGAGTTTTTCGGAAAAACTCTTAAACACGTATATTTTATTTTGTTGTTTTACATATTTTAAGATTTTTTATAAATTTATACAGGGTGTTTCATAAAATATGACCATTGAGTAATCACAATTTTGCTTAAACTACTTGACGTTTAAAGCTGATTTTTGGCAAACGGATTGACTGTGGGGTGTAGAGGTTCGATAAGGAGGAGTTTCTCGAATCTCAAATTCCAAGAGGGTGAAAACGCCCCTCAAATATTACAATATTTGTTATTTAAAAAACGGTTAGTCTTTCGGGAAAACGCTTGGACAAGCATAATTTATTTGGTTTTTTTACATATTTTAAAATTTTTTAAACAATCATACAGGGTGTGCCAAAAGTTGGGTAATTTCTTAACCACGATTCTGCTTAAACTGCTTGCCGTAAAAAGCTTATTTTTGGCAACCGGATTTTTCGAAAGTCAAATTCCAACGAGATGAAACTACCCCTCAAATATTACCAAGTTATACAGTAATATTGCCATATTGTTTTTTCTCAAGCTGACTTAAGTTAATGGAAATTCTTGCTTTGCTTTATCATCACCATCAGAAATGATTAATTCGACGCGAACGAAGTCGCTGGTACACGCTAGTAGAAATATATTTCGTCTTTTTCAAATAAGTCAAAAATTGCCAAGATATTTTAGTCTAAAAATATATAAAAAATAAGAAACAGTAGTTTTTTTCTGTTTTTATTCCTCGAAATGTAATCTACTACCTAATGTTTCATATACATTACATATTATTAAGATATTATATATCAGAGGTAATATCTTTTACACTTATGTAAGATTCACCCTGTATAACTTTAATCTCTTTGTATCTTCCACACTGTTGTTTCAAAGTAAAACACGAACTTCAAAAGAATCATGAAGAGCTGCTATTATTATTATACTGTCAAGAACTTGAGCTAAAGGCATAGCAAATTTTAAATTAAAATTAATACATTTACACCCAACAGTGATGTTTTTGCCTTTAATTCAACAATATGGTATTCATTTTATCAATAATTTCTGGTAGGAACCGGAATTGTATAGTGTCATAGTGTCCGAAAATAAAATTTTGGGCAATAATAACACTGATAATTTTTATCGAAACATTTCAGAATGAAAACAACAATATTTTTTATGCTTTTTTGTAATTTTCCGTAAAGAAAAAATTGTTTAAATTCAAATTAATCTGTGCTAAATGCCTGTAGTACCCGCGTAACGACAGTCGCGCAGTACTCAGCCGGTCATCGGATCGATTCGATGGGAGGGATGTACAAACTGTATCGATATTTTGATATATCGATATTTTTGTTATATTAATAAATATTTTAAGCCGACTTCCATTGAATTATTTCTAATTAAATTCCTAGGTCGTATACGTCGTTGAAAAATGTACGTCCATAGTACGTACATTGTACGATCATTTTACATCCAGTTTTGGTCCGGAACAAAACATAAAATGTACGTACCTGGAATGTACGTACATGCGACGTACATAGTACGTACTTTATCACATCCCAGGGACGTACCAGGGACGTACAAAGCGTTGGAAAATGTACGTCTCTAGTACGTACATGGTACATACCTGTACATACTTTTACGTACCAGGGACCTGACGTTCGTCCCAACATTATGTACCAGGTACGTACATAGTACGTACCGTGGCTGTATGGGTTAGTTTTAATATATTGCTATACTAAATTGTTCAAGGGTGATTTAAAGAAAAATCACCATAAACAGAAAAGTAGATGTTTTCTTTTATGGTCTTGAGGGGAGAATGAAAACAGTATATATCGATATTTTTTCTAAAACTGACCATCTCTAGGTCTAATTGGCCGGGATACGAAATTTTTCGTTCACTTGAAGGCCTTAATTGATCAGAAGCGCCGCCATCTGTCCAGATGTGCGCCTCCCTGACCCCGCTCCGCCGCCGCTGACCTTTGCCTATCTGGCCGCCGCATAATTGGAGCTCGTGGTGAACCCTATCTAGGTACCCAGGGTCGTACCAGATAATTTTTTATTTTTAATTTTTATTGTCGATGGCTGTTTAACATCAAAAGAAACTTTTAAACAAAGAAAAGAAAACGTCAAACTATTTTTAAAATGGCAAACGAAACAAATAGTATGAAACGTAGAGAATCATGAAAAATCTTTCTAGAAGGGTTGTAGGTACCTGGTGCTGTAATAGACCAACAATACTGCCGTCGGTAGTTAAAAGGCGGCAAGTGACAAAACCATAGTTATGAGAAAAATGGCAAAAACTTTTCGAAGGGGGGAAACTCCGTGGGGGAGGGCTTCAGAGCGTTCAAACACCCCCCCACCCTTGAATTTAATCAAGTAATAGGATATTGTTAATTTATTTGGTCACAAACAACTCGGGAGTATATACTTTGAGGTAAAATTTTGACTCTAGTGTGGGAAACACTCTTTAAAAATAACTAGTCCAACCCTGGCTTCCGTTAAAAACCGACGTTTTGTTGCAATTTAGTGAATAAATGCGAATTAAATCCAAATGATAATTGAAATCACAAGAATTACACACAAACGCACTACAGTCTTTAGCTGCTGTCATTTAATAGGTACGCCAGTGTTTTACAGATAAAACCCATCTTTATATCACTAATCACAGTGCATTTTACGACCCAGAATCGTTTTAATATCAATTTATTACAATTAAACAGAATATATAGAGAATTTCGCAGAACTACTTAAAATCCATTTGAAAAAAATCTAACAATAATTCCACTAAACAAATAATCAATGTCATACAAAGATAAAAACTGATTTTATCTTTAAAAGGCACAACAAACAAAACAGCAGGTCAAGCGTAAAGTGTATAGAAAGATAAAAATAATTATAAATTTACTTACGAAACAGAACAATTAAAACACTTTTTTTAAACACTGTAAGTTTTTTTTTAAATCGGCTTGATCGATGGCTTGCTATGTCCGATATCGTGATGAAGACTGTGGAGCCATTCAGTCTGGTGGTACTTGCTGTTGAGGTTTTTCCAAAGATTTTTCGATGGAGAGTGTTATAAAACCTTTTTCACATATTTTTATTGAGGGTTTCATGAATTTTGTACCATTTTAAGGGGTCGAAACCTTTGTGAGGACCTGAAATATTTTATTGGAGGTAAATTAAGGGACAGGTACATGCACCTGGCTTTGTGTTGGTCACTGTATAAAGTTACTTATTTTATCTTTAACGTTGATTTGTGAATTTGGTTTTATTAGCCCATTATGTTAAGGGATTTTTGAATATAGCCCTTTTCTAAATAGCGTTCAAGAAAAATAATAATTTTAAACCATGTAAATTTGTTTATAGGATTTATTATTATGTGTTTATTTTTCTGAGAATTAATAACAAATAATATTCACTAAAAATTAAATATTTTTCAGTTAAATATATTACATAGTATCTATTACCGATTTAAAATAACAATAACAATAAAATTTAGTTATATTGTTGGAAGTATGTCTGTATATAAAGTTTATTTGAGATTCAATAAAATTCTTGATATACGAAGTACAATAATAATGTTTTTATTTAAAAATATTTTGTGTAGTTTTAGTTACATCTGTGTGTAAATAGCTAAAGTAATTTATTTTACATTAAAATTGATTTTAACTAAAGATAAACAGTCAACTGTATAATACAACAGAATTCTGTATTTTACTTTAAATATTTTCTTGACAATCTGGCGAAGGAGCTTTTATTATTTTGATTTTTCTCAAACTTCTCGATAGATGGGTGACAATATTACTTTCCTGTACCGTATATTAATGTTAAACTCATTTTGTTTGATGTTTGAACATTATAATATTTATAAAGAATATTTAAAATAAGCAATATTGTCAAAATACAACCAAATAAAAATTAAAAAATGAATTTTTATTTATCTTTATAATTTTGATTAACTGTTCTTCATGACTTGCCCTTAACAAAATTTTATTAAAAATATACTTATATTAATAATTTTAAATTTATGAATTTGATATCAATATAGGATCTATGTATATTAGTAATAAATACAAATTCATCAAACGTGTTTTAAGGTACAGATAATTAGACATTTTTGTGAAAATAAATAAATAAATTAATGTAAAGAGAATATAAACGCAAATAATGGTCCTGTTCCATCTATCAACATCATCATTCTCATCTTATTCGACCATTTCCATTGGGATCCGTGTACAGGGTGGGTCAAATTCGACGCTTTTAAATGGAAACAACCTTTTCTATAGGAGATAGACAAAAACAATAAAAACGATATACAATCAATAAAAACGAAAAACCAGCAGCTGACGAAATTTCCACATTATGCAAATTAAATTTACACGCTGGTACTTAAAAAACATCGACAGTGTTGCCGAACTTCCTCCGATTTCCTCAAATCTCCATATTTTTAACAGTTTATGCTGACAGAGAGCTCAGGCTGTCGAAACGTTGCTTCTGTATGAACCAGTCTCAACTAATTGGACCTAGGGACCCGTGGTTTTCGGATTTAATCGCAATATATCGAAGTATATTAAGAAAATTCGATGCTGGAGGGCCTGCGGTTCGATATTCGCTGCCTGTCTTGCAGTAACATAACGCTTAGGGTGGACAGTCAATTCGACATGATAATTTTCAAGATTTTGAAGAAAAAATATCAATTTTTTCACACTGATGTTGTGTGAATACTACTATACTCTGTTTTTTTTCTCAAGTTTGTGTCAAATTATGACAAATAACCTGCGTTTTAGAAGATTATACACATTTGCAAATTGTTTTTGCATTTTGGCCCGTGTTCTTACGTCTATTTTGTGTCTTTTAAGTTAAGTGGAGGAAAAATCGAGGGAAAAGTAACTATAGACCCAGAGCAGAGTTTATAGTTAATATTCGGTGCCAAGGGACCCACCAATAGCCACCAATAAAGTTACTAAAAACAGGAGAAGCTGTAAAATAACATCACACCATAAGAGATTTTAATACTGCAGAAAGATAATAACAAAAAAATTAAATTTAAACAAAAGAAAATATTTTTTTACGCGTCAAAAACTTATTGTTTCTGGTAAAAAACTTTTTTTACGCCTAAAAAAATATTTAATATAATAATTTAATTTATTACTTTTTCAACATTTCAAACTACATTTTTTCAAACATTTCCTTCAAATTTTTGAATTTAATAGAATCTTCCTAAGCAGTAGATGTTCTTTATACACAAAAAAAAATATTTTTTACGTGAAAAAACTATTTGTTACACGTAAAAAATTATTTTTTTACGTGTCAAAAACTTATTGTTTCTGGTAAAAAACATTTTTTACGCAAAAAAAAAATATTTTTTACGTGTATAAAACTATTTGTTACACGTAAAAAATAATTTTTTTACGCGTCAAAAACTTATTGTTTCTGGTAAAAAACTTTTTTTACGCGTAAAAAAATATTTAATATAATAATTTAATTTATTACTTTTTCAACATTTCAAACTACATTTTTTCAAACATTTCCTTCAAATTTTTGAATTTAATAGAATCTTCCTAAACAGTAGATGTTCTCTATAAAAATATTTTTAGATAATATCCTAAAATGAAAAAAATGCATACTATTTAATTTAATTTTTATTGCATCATTAAATATTACGTCCGCCTATGACGGGGTCTCATAGAAAACGCTAAAGACGCTACAGAAAACAAATTGATTTGTTTTCATTTGCGTTTTTTGCGAGACACGGCGAACGCTAGACGCTTTTGGTGGGGCCACTCCTATATAATCCTGTTATTTTGTTTTAGTCGCTAAAGACGCTTCACGCTAAAAACGCAAAAAACGCTTTCTGTGTGGCCGTGCACTTAGTGTCAGGTCATAGCAGCAACGAAAGTGACGAAAAATCCCATGAAATAGGAAGGCAAGGATCATTGAAATCCTTTCCTAGTCCAGAGCCATCAGTACTGGAAAAAAACTGTCTACTGGTGAAACAGATAGAGACACTGGTACAGCAAAACCTCCACCAAAGATTTAATTATAAAACCGCACAGGAACTGCTACGAGAAAAAATATTGGGAAACTCTGCTCTATAATAAGTCGAGTGAAGATGCTCATTTTCTTGCTAAACTTTTATTATATTACATTATTGCTTTTAGCTTTGTGTCAATACAATTCTTCTTCTTCAAGAACTACAAACACAAATTAACGAACTAAATACAGCCAGCAATAAAGTAAGTCTCAAAATGAATTTAGCCAAAAATTAAAGTAATGTTAAACGAACTAGTAGACAGAAAAAAACATTCGATTAAAAAACACAAAACTGGAAATACTAGAAGAACACATATATTTGGGACAACTAATACACAGCTCGGGATCCAGAAATCAACCGAAGAATTAAGTTAGCATGGAGTACTTATGGAAGAAATTCAATCATATTCAAATCTAAAATGCCACCTTATCTAAAGAAGAACACATTCGACCAATGTATACTACCAGTCATGACCTAAGCGTGCAAAAAAGATGGTCTCTTAAAACGGACATTATAAGGAAACTGCAGGTCGCACAACGCTCAATGGAACGAAATATGCTAATAACCAAGAAAGGCCGTCAAAGAATAGAGTGGATACGATTAAAGGCCCATGTAATAGATGTCATCCACACAGTCAAATCCTTCAAGTGGTAATGCGCAGGACACCTGGCAAGAAGGACGGATAAAAATTACACACATAGTGATCCAGGCGGAGGCAAAAATGGGACCCTATCGACAACAAAGTGTCTTGTCTCTGGGAAATAGGACAGACACAGGACACTTAAAGATGGGAGATTCTATCGGAGCACCTCTACTCCAAATGAGATCGGACCAAATGACCCCTCTTTATCACTACCACAAACCATTCGAGGTGAACAAAATGGATCGAGGAATGTGGACAGATATAACATTCCTTCAGGATGGACTAACCTGGTATACAGACGAGTCAAAGACCGCTGAAGGAACAGGAGCTGCAGTATTTGGTAAAGACCAAGGGCAAGCTTATCCTCTTTCTTGGGTAAACACTCAACCTTATTCCAGACAGAAATCTTCGTCATTCTACAATGTGCGAGAGAAAACAATAGAAAAGCATATCAGGTAAGCTCATCAATATATGCTCAGACAGTCAGGCGGCACTTGGGGCGCTTATGAGCCCAAAGGTATCGTCGAGAATCGTCTGGGAATGCTTTGTTGAACTGGGAGCTCTGGCACGAAGGAACAGAATTAAATTATTCTAGGTGCCGGGCCACAGCGGCATCCAAGGCAACGAAAAAGCCGATGAGCTAGCTAGGCAGGGATCATCGGCATCCTATCTTGGTCCAGAGCCAGTACTGGGAATGTATACCCAAATGTATGGCCCGTGGTACTGGGTATGGCCCGTGGTATGGCCCGTGGTACAGTGATAGGAGAATGGGTGCAGATATAGAAGGGGGACAAACACAATAGGCTTCACAGGTCGTAGTGTTTCAGGCAGAGGACGGCCAATTGCAAAGAGAGCATGTAAACATGTGAGGGAGGCTACACCATAATTGGAAATGGTTAAATAAGCTGAGAATGATGATGATGATGATGATCAATACAATATCAGGATCTGTTTTAAATATGAAGACCAGTTAACCTGTGGTCTTCTTCGTCGGTTCAACGGTTGTCAAACTAATTGGGTGGCGAGATGGCGTACTAGTTTTTACCAGCGGGACGTTGATGCGCGTACGCGTTTCGGTACCACTGGAAGGCATCGAACGCGTTCGCCAATTATGTATCTCGTTATCTCCCAGCGGAGATGACCGCCGACCCAAAACAAGAACAATTTATAAAATAAAGAAGACGATAGCTTCGGTTTCAATATGGTTCGAAGACAGGTTGTTTATTGTCAGTCAGAGTTTTGTCTAAGAACTTCGTTAAACAATTTACCTCAATTATACCTAAGTCCTTCTAACAGTTAGGACAATTTTCAGTTTTGTGCTCAAATAGTCACAGTTACTAAAAAACACATTGACAATAACCAAAGCAGAAAAATAGATATTTGGTAAAATTACACTATCGAATTACAATTACAATCGATACCTACTCATAAAATATCTATCGATTTAATGGAATAGGTAATGG